TGCAAATGCATATTTTCTAAAAAAAGTCATTTTTTGTGAAATTTTGCCGGGAATGGGGCTTTAACTTTTGGATGTAGGAATGTTTATCGTGTCTTTGTAATTAAGTAATACTTCCTTATCAATCTTTTCTTTCCAGTTTTTCATTACAGATGGATCGTCTTACGGAGTCGTTTTCAGTTTGTTAGATGCCTTGGATGAATTTGCTAAGCCTAGGGATCACAAAAAAGTACGTAAATCATTTAAATATTCCAGTAAATTTATGAAATACAATGCAAACTTTAATTACATACATCCAAATATTTTTTAATGTATAAAGTTTTAATTTTAAAAAAAATCAAAATGCGTTAAAGTGGGGAAAAGCTATTCCAGAAATAATTAAAATTTAGAATTGTATTGTATATCCAAATCCCATTTTAGTAATAATTATGTTGATCGATATTACTTGCAGGGAAAGTATGAGATGACTAATCTCCAGACGATCATATTTTGGATAAGGTCGATATATGAATATGCTATACTGCTACATGGCTTAAAGGAGAAACCTTTAATCAATGGAATTATAGCATCTCCGACGATTAGTCTAATTGGGACGCACATGGACCTACTCACGGGGAGTGATGCTGAGAAGCAGGCAAAGGTACGGTAATGTATTGTAGGTCTGTGTGAGTGTTTATACTATATATTTTGTTTCAAAATCCATTGATATTCATTTACACCTACTATAAATTCTTCTATTCAAAGATTGATGACATGTTCGACAGAATATTTAAGGAACTCGAAGGAACGCCATACGAACGTCACGTAGATCGTGAGAGGTATGCCGTAGACAACACCACATCACTGGATGAAGGGATTCAAAGACTGAAAAGAAACGTAGGCGGTTTCATGAAAGCAATGGCAAGAACTGTTCCAATAAATTGGATGGACTTCCAAATTGAGGTACAAGAAGCCGGGAAAACAACTCTGCGCATGTCCTTAGATAAGGTATTGTGTTATAGGTATAGGTATTGTATTATAAGAAACTCTAGTAATAAATTAAAATATTTCTTCCAAGGCCGTAGGAAACGGTTGGGCTGCTCCGGAAGGCCGTATATGCTGCTCAAGTTTTCGGCCCAAAAATTCAAAAATCAATATCGTTTGTGTGCCAAAATTGTAATTTTAACACAATGTAGTATTTTTTTTAAAACAAATAATATTTAATATAATAAAATAATAATAATAAAATAATAATAATATAATGTAATATTATTACAGTATGGCCTGACTCAGCATGCACACACACACACACACACACACACACACATAAACGATATTTTTAAAAGTACTGTAGGCCTGATACCGGTATATGAAATTGACTACCAAGCAAGCAAAAAGAAAAAAGATTTTTTAAGTATTTGCAACTTTGTGGATTTTTCCAACAGGCCTTTCTAATTGAGAATTTCATAAATTTGCATTAATTCGCAGACCTGACTGCTTCTTGCAGATTCCTCTTTTTTACCGTTAAATTTATGTATTTCTCTTATGTTCTAAAAATTACCGCGAGATGATTTATTTCA